TGAAAACTTCTCCCAGAAAATACCTTGCTGAAAAGGAAAACTAGTCCCCATTATAAGGCTCTAATACCATGTGGGAAACTGTATTTCGATATATTTGAGCCTTAAATCCTCATAGAAGATGTATTATTAAACTTATTGAAAAATGCGAACAAGAGCCTCAATTTATAAGATTACAAAATTGTATACTACTAAAGAATAACATATACAACGAACCACCTTCCTAATATAGGTATACATAAAAAAAGAAAATATTATACCAAAAAATAAGTGTAGGCTTCTATAATTTCCAAAGTGTATCCATCTGAAATGATGTATAGTGTCATTGCAAACACCACAGTTAAGAGGGACCTTGCTAACATTCTTGATTGAGATCTCTAAGTACTCGTGCCGAAGCATATTGTAAAGTTTCACCCTTGTTCAAAATATTAACTTGGGAAGATTTGTTTGATCTGAAATTTTGGGAAACATCGAAAAATTATTTCGATGATTATATTCTAATGAAAATTTTGAATTTTGAGAGTTCTAATACCTAGATCTCAGCTTCAAAAGTGGACAGTTTTCATTCAATTTTCAAGCCCATAGAGAATACAATTGGGAAATTTTTTATTTGGTACAACATATGAGTTGGAGAGGTTACATTCCCAAATTTTGGGTCCTGAAAATACTCCTATACTGAATTTTGCCTGAAAGATAAATAGACAGTATATTTTCTCAGGAGCGTGATATTCTTTTGCTTGAATAAATCAAGTCGAGGTAGTAAATTTGGATCAAGTGCACGTACTATGCTCCGTAAGGATCATTGTTTACTTCTACTCCCTCTATCAAAAGACCTAATTGAGGGTATTTTTTCAATATGAAATTTTGACAACCACTTAATACTTATTAGATGGTTAGATATTTAAGTTTTATAGCACGTAAATCTCATCATCTAAAGGCGTGGTGAGCGTGCCTGGGTAAAAGTAGTGCTCGGATGGATGACCTCCTAGAAACACCCTCTTTGGGTAACGCCGGTCATCTTCATTGATACAATGCCCAACAAAAAAAAAAAAATATCTCACCATCTAAAAATTGGACAGTCGCTATTCAGTTTCTAAATATTATTTTTTTAAGTGTAGTACAATTAAGATTTTTTTATTGAGGTTAATATATGGGTTGAAGAGGTTACAACCCCAAAATTTTGGTTCGTAAAATTATTTCTAGGTGGGATCTGCCTGTCTTGCTATTGTTTTAAGTGCATAAATGGTACATTTAGAAAACAAATTTATTGAGGTTAATATATGGTTGAAAAGGTTACATCGGCAAAATTTGAGGTACTAAAATTATTTTTAGGGGGGGTCTACCTGCAAAAGAAGACTTGAAAGGAGTGTTCCTTGAGCGATTGGTCAAGGATGAATCTTGAATTTCCCGGGTATACCCAACTCGGCATATTTCTCAACATCATCACCCATTCATACTCCTCCACAGCTTAAATATTTCAAATATAGGATACTACTTTATTTTTAAGGAAACTTCATTACACACCCTTTTTTTTTCTTTTCTTTTTTTTTCAAAATTAGAAAAAGCCTACATATTTTGGGCTTTCATGGTGAAATCTAAATTTTTGGATTTTTTTAATATTCGTTTTGCTCCTTGTTCAGGTCCAATATTTTACCACTCAAAATACCAAAAAGACTATAAGGGCCATTTGGGTATCTTGAAATATATTCTCAAGTAAAATACATTAGGGATTGTATACAATGAGAGAATTTATCTATCGTATAAAGAGGTCATAATTATTTATAACTATCTGATATGAAATTTAATGGCTTGGTTGTATCATAAAGTTCAAAAAAGTTGCGTTTGAACTTTGAACTTGTCCCAATTTCACATCAAATGATCACGATTAATTGTGACTACTTTATACAAAAGGTAATAAGTAGTTTATACTTCTTCAGTGCATTATTGAGGAAATGCATTACTGAAAATAGGTAGAGCATTTTGAAGCAACCTAGTAAATAGATTGTTGTTGTGTGGCTATGGCTAGAAGAAACTTAAGAAATACATTACCCCATTTTGGATGGGAAAAATTGTATACATTTTACCTATATGTAATTTTTTGTATTTTGTCAAATTACTGTAGTTTACCTTTTTTTTGGGGGATAGAGAGAGTGTTCTCACGAAATTGGAGAAATATCTATAATATAATTTTGGCAATTTATATTTCTCAATCAACTGGAACAAAAATGGAAAAGAAACTACTCCAAATTCTCCATGAATTTTCAAAATATAAAAAAAAATATTGGAAAAATAGTAGTTTGAAAGCCTTATTTAAACACATTAACTAGAACCAACTAGCAAACAGCTCTCTCTCTCTCATTTTGTTAGTCCTTATGTAGACTCTCTCTCCCCTACACACCATCTTTTTTTTTCTCCCACTGACCTTTCTCAAACATTTATACCTTCTCTTTTTGAGTTTCTGACCGTTTCTTCTTTCTTGCCTTTGACTCACCCACCCTTTTTTTTTTCTAAGCACGAGGTTTTATTTATTTATTTATTTATTTTAAATTATTTTTATTATCAAAATTTTTTTATGGCTCTAAAATTAATTTCCATCGTTTTGGTATCAAAAATCTTTACTGTAGCTTCAAAATTAATTTCCTATCACCGAAAATGAAATTTGAAACTCGTTTCCCTATCTCTCTCATACAATGGACTTTTACTCACCAGGTGGAAAAATTGGGCCGCATATGCTGACCCCTGAGCCGCCATGGCAGTGTACCGGGTAAGAGAGAGAACAGAGGGACCCGCAGAAAATTCGAACTCTATTATAATCATTCCATTCCTCTTTTTTCTCAACTATCGCATCTGCACGTCCATATTTCAGGTTTTTTATTCACAATTTGTCATTTCAATAAGCATAATTTCAACCGGTTTTTAAAAAACGTCGAGTCGAAACATACTCGCCCGATTCGACTCGAAAATAGTAAAAAAGGGACTGGATCGCCTAAAAAATCGAAAATCGTCCGGTTCTAGAGAGAACCGGACGATTATATACAGTGAATCGCCGATTCACTGTACGGAATCGGCGAGTCCGAACAGTGAATCGACGAGTCCCGTACGGTTTTTTTTTTTTTTTTTTGTAATCCATGATAGATTTTTTTGTAATACTTGATCGATTTTTTGTAATCCATGATCGAATTATTTTTGTTTTTTTGTAATCCATGATCGTAATTTTTTGGTTTTTTGGTTTTTGTAACCCAT